TCTCACACACTCTCACACTCACACACACTCACACACTCTCACACACTCTCACACACTCTCACACACTCTCACACACTCTCACACACTCTCACACACATACACACACACACACACACACACTCACACACTCTCACACACTCTCACACACTCTCACACACTCTCACACACTCTCTCTCTCTTTCTTTCTCTCTCTCTCTCTCTCTCTCTCTCTCTCTCTCTCTCTCTCTCTCTCTCTCCTCTCTCTCTCTCTCTCTCTCTCTGCATTTACTTAACTCTAGAAAGTTTTGGACAGTGTTCTTCACCAACCCAGAAATCACACCATTATATAAATTAGTGAATGTCACCTGATAAAACGGAAGACATATAATGTGCCACGCCAGAGTGTCTCAACCTGCCATCCTGTGTGTGCCATCCTGTGTGTACCATCCTGTGTGTACCATCCTGTGTGTACCATCCTGTGTGTGCCATCCTGTGTGTACCATCCTGTGTGTACCATCCTGTGTGTACCATCCTGTGTGTACCATCCTGTGTGTACCATCCTGTGTGTACCATCCTGTGTGTGCCATCCTGGTGTACCATCCTGTGTGTACCATCCTGTGTGTACCATCCTGTGTGTACCATCCTGTGTGTGCCATCCTGTGTGTACCATCCTGTGTGTACCATCCTGTGTGTACCATCCTGTGTGTACCATCCTGTGTGTACCATCCTGTGTGTGCCATCCTGTGTGTACCATCCTGTGTGTACCATCCTGTGTGTACCATCCTGTGTGTACCATCCTGTGTGTACCATCCTGTGTGTACCATCCTGTGTGTACCATCCTGTGTGTGCCATCCTGTGTGTGCCATCCTGTGTGTGCCATCCTGTGTGTACCATCCTGTGTGTACCATCCTGTGTGTACCATCCTGTGTGTGCCATCCTGTGTGTACCATCCTGTGTGTACCATCCTGTGTGTACCATCCTGTGTGTACCATCCTGTGTGTACCATCCTGTGTGTGCCATCCTGTGTGTACCATCCTGTGTGTGCCATCCTGTGTGTACCATCCTGTGTGTACCATCCTGTGTGTACCATCCTGTGTGTACCATCCTGTGTGTACCATCCTGTGTGTACCATCCTGTGTGTACCATCCTGTGTGTACCATCCTGTGTGTACCATCCTGTGTGTACCATCCTGTGTGTACCATCCTGTGTGTACCATCATGTGTGTACCATCCTCTGTGCGTGCCATCCTGTACTCACCTAATTGTGGTTGCAGGGGTCGAGACTCAGCTCCTGGCTCCGCCTCTTCACTGATCGCTACTGGGTCCTCTCCCTCTCTGCTTCCTGAGCTTTGTCATACCTCTTCTTAAAACTATGTATGGTTCCTGCCTCCACTACTTCACTTGCTAGGCTATTCCACTTCCTGACGACTCTATGACTGAAGAAATACTTCCTAACGTCCCTGTGACTCGTCTGAGTCTTCAGCTTCCAGTTCTGACCCTTTGTTCCTGTGTCCCCTCTCTGGAACATCCTATCTCTGTCCACCTTTATTCCCCGCAGTATCTTGTATGCCGTTATCATGTCTCCCCTGACCCTTCTGTCCTCCAGTGTCGTCAGTCCGATTTCCCCTCAACCTTTCCTCGTACGACATTCCCCTGAGCTCTGGGACTAGCCTTGTTGCAAACCTTTGTACTTTCTCTAACTTCTTGACGTGCTTGACCAGGTGTGGGTTCCAGACTGGTGCTGCATACTCCAGTATGGGCCTAACATACACAGTGTACAGTGTCTTGAACGATTCCTTATTAAGGTACCGGAACGCTATTCTCAGGTTTGCCAGGCGCCCGTATGCTGCAGCAGTTATTTGGTTGATGTGTGCCTCCGGTGACGTGCTCGGTGTTATGGTCACCCCGAGGTCTTTCTCCCTGAGTGAGGTCTGTAGTCTTTGTCCACCTAGCCTATACTCTTGTCTGTGGTCTTCTTTGCCCCTCCCCAATCTTCATGACTTTGCATTTGGCAGGGTTGAATTCGAGAAGGCAGTTTCTGGACCACATGTCCAGCCTGTCCAGGTCTCTTTGCAGTCCTGCCTCATCCTCATCCGATTTAATTCTTCTCATCAACTTCACATCATCTGCGAATAGGGACACTTCAGAGTCTATTCCTTCCATCATGTCGTTCGCATATATCAAAAATAGCCCTGGTCCTAGAACTGACCCCTGTGGGACCCCGCTCGTCACAGGCGCCCACTGTGATACCTCTTCACGTACCATGACTCGTTGTTGCCTCTCTGTCAGGTATTCCCTGATCCATTGCAGTGCCCTCCCTGTTATATGCGCCTGGTCCTCCAGCTTCTGCACTAATCTCTTGTGGGGAACTGTGTCAAAGACCTTCCTGCAGCAATCAACCCACCCCTCTCTCTCTCGTGTCTTACTTCTGTTACCTTGTCAGAAAACTCCAGAAGGTTTGTGACACAGGATTTGCCTTCCATGAACCTGTGTGTGCCATGCTGTGTGTGCCATCCTGTGTGTGCCATCCTGTGTGTACCATCCTGTTTGTGTAATCCTGTTTGTGCCATCCTGTGTGTGCCGTCCTGTGTGTGCCATCCTGTGTGTACCATCCTGTGTGTGCCATCCTGTGTGTGCCATCCTGTGTGTGCCATCCTGTGTGTGCCATCATGTGTGTACCATCCTGTGTGTACCATCATGTGTGTACCATCCTGTGTGTACCATCTTGTGTGTGCCATCCTGTGTGTGCCATCCTGTGTGTGTGCCATCCTGTGTGTAGATGAATGGTTCAAAGAACCGACATGTTGTTAAATTAGACACATGTGCAATTCTTGGGTATCTTTATTGAGGAAACGTTTCGCCACATAGTGACTTCATCAGTCCACACAAAGGATAAACTTGAAGAACAGGAGGAGAATGAGGTAATCAGTCCCTCAGCCTTGAGTCGATGTGGTCAGTCCATCAATCTTGAATAGAATACGGTATATGAGCGGAGAAGCAGCTTATAAACCGTAGACAGGTGAGGTGCAGCATTCGTAGGTGGTGTCACATTTGTCCAATGTGGAAGTAGGTCGTGCCCAAGGGTGAGGCAAGCGAAGAATTCCCAAGTATTAAGATCCCAAGAAGTTACAGTGTCTGACAGGATTGTAGATGAATGGTTCAGAGAACCGACATGTTGTTAAATTAGACACATGGGCAACTCTTGGGTATCGTCATTGAGGAAACGTGTGGACTGATGAAGCCACTGTGTGGCGAAACGTTTCCTCAATAAAGATACCCAAGAGTTGCACATGTGTCTAATTTAACATCCTGTGTGTGCCATCCTGTGTGTGCCATTCTGTGTGCGCCATTCTGTGTGCGCCATTCTGTGTGCGCCATTCTGTGTGCGCCATTCTGTGTGTGCCATCCTGTGTGTACCATCCTGTGTGTACCATCCTGTGTATACCATCCTGTGTGTGTACCATCCTGTGTGTGTACCATCCTGTGTGTGTACCATCCTGTGTGTACCATCCTGTGTGCACCATCCAGTGTGCGCCATCCTGTGTGCACCATCCTGTGAGCACCATGCAGTGTGCACCATCCAGTGCACACCATCCAGTGCACACTATCCAGTGAGCACCATCCAGTGTGCATCATCCAGTGTGCACCATCCAGTGCACACCATCCTATGTGCACCATCCAGTGAGCACCATCCTGTGACCATCCTGTGAGCACCATCCAGTGCACACCATCCTGTGAGCACCATCCAGTGCACACCATCCTGTGAGCACCATCCAGTGAGCACCATCCAGTGCACACCATCCTGTGAGCACCATCCAGTGCACACCATCCTGTGAGCACCATCCAGTGCACACCATCCTGTGAGCACCATCCAGTGAACACCATCCAGTGCACACCATCCTGTGAGCACCATCCAGTGCACACCATCCTGTGAGCACCATCCAGTGCACACCATCCTGTGAGCACCATCCAGTGCACATCCTGTGAGCACCATCCAGCGCACACCATCCTGTGAGCACCATCCCGTGAGCACCATCCTGTGAGCACCATCCAGTGCACATCCTGTGAGCACCATCCAGCGCACATCCTGTGAGCACCATCCAGTGCACATCCTGTGAGCACCATCCAGCGCACACCATCCTGTGAGCACCATCCCGTGAGCACCATCCTGTGAGCACCATCCAGTGCACACCATCCTGTGAGCACCATCCAGTGAGCACCATCCAGTGAGCACCATCCTGTGAGCACCATCCAGTGCACACCATCCTGTGAGCACCATCCAGTGCACACCATCCTGTGAGCACCATCCAGTGTACACCATCCTGTGAGCACCATCCAGTGAGCACCATCCTGTGAGCACCATCCAGTGAGCACCATCCTGTGAGCACCATCCAGTGACCACCATCCAGTGTACACCATCCGGTGAGCACCATCCAGTGAGCACCATCCAGTGAGCACCATCCTGTGAGCACCATCCAGTGTACACCATCCTGTGAGCACCATCCAGTGAGCACCATCCTGTGAGCACCATCCAGTGAGCACCATCCTGTGAGCACCATCCAGTGTACACCATCCAGTGAGCACCATCCAGTGTACACCATCCGGTGAGCACCTTCCAGTGCACACCATCCTGTGAGCACCATCCAGTGCACACCATCCAGTACACACCATCCTGTGAACATCATCATGTGAGCACCATCCAGTGCACACCATCCTGTGAGCACCATCCAGTGCACATCATCCAGTGTGCACCATCCAGTGTGCACCATCCAGTGAGCACCATCCAGTGTGCACCATCCAGTGTGCACCATCCAGTGAGCACCATCCAGTGTGCACCATCCAGTGTGCACCATCCAGTGTGCACCATCCAGTGTGCACCATCCAGTGAGCACCATCCAGTGTGCACTCAGCCAAGTTATCAATTATGATAATTACCAATAATCATAATAAAAAATATTAAAAAAAAAAATAAAAAAAAATTAACATTTAAAAATAATAAGAATTAATAAAAATGGTACTGACCTGGTGGCTGAAGGTGTCGCTTCACAAGACCAGCCTCCGGGCTAGATCCCCGGCGAGGGTAGAAACACCTAGTGTTTCCTTACACCGGTAGTCCATATTCACCCATCAGTATAAAATGGGCACCTGGGTGTTAGTGGACTGGTGTGGGTCGCATCCTGGGACAAAACTGACCTAATTTGCCGGAAATGGTGAGCACAAGACACAGCACCGTACACAGTAACATGTGACTGGTGTCAGCTACGACTGTGTACCTTGTATATGTACTTGTGGTAAATATTTATAAAGACATCATATATCTTAAGAGTATTCCAAGACAAATATAAGAGGAACGTACAGTGAATGTACAGTGTACACTACTGGGCATGTGTAGCAGGTGTACACCACCACCACCAACACCTCTCACTACACTGTCCACTGCTTGGTTGGTTAATGGTGGTGGGAGGGAGGGAAGGGGAGGGAGAGGGGTGGGGGGAAGGGTGGTAAGGTGGGAGGGGAAGGGGAGGAATACAGTCTATCGACTACACTAGGGGGGTTATTAACGCTGATCGTAACATATTCACCACTGGACAAGAATACTTTAATGCTTAAAGTAGGGATTAAGTTAAGCTCTCAGTATATATACACTGAGACATACACATCTGGGTGGTGCATATATACTGAGACATACACATCTGGGTGGTGCATATATACTGAGACATACACATCTGGGTGGTGCATATATACTGAGACATACACATCTGGGTGGTATATATACACTGAGACATACACATCTGGGTGGTGCATATATACTGAGACATACACATCTGGGTGGTATATATACACTGAGACATACACATCTGGGTGGTGCATATATACTGAGACACACATCTGGGTGGTATATATACACTGAGACATACACATCTGGGTGGTATATATACACTGAGACATACACATCTGGGTGGTATATATACACTGAGACATACACATCTGGGTGGTATATATACACAGCAACTTGAATAAATGGTTGAAAAATTAAACACTCGAGCAACATTCAGGTGTTTTTATTCTAACTGGCGAAACGTTTCCATAATAAAAACACCCGAAACGTTGCAAAAAAATGCCTCACAACGCGTAGTGAATATTAGACACCATGGAGCTGAACTCTTCTCTTTCTCCAAGGTTGATGGATTGATTATATCGTCTTTATTTCACTACTACACCTGTTACTTCTGTATTTAACTGAAGAAATCTTTTTTGTAGGGCGAAACGTTTCATCAATAATACCCAACTGTTACACACTTGTCCTAATCCTCAACTTGTCGGTGTTTTACACCATTTCCAACATAACCGTCATCTCAGTAGTAGTAACCAGTTACCAGTAACTAGTGTACCAGTAGTTGACTCACTACCAACCGTCTCTGCCTGAGTCACTGTCTATTCATATTGTGCTGACCACAGCAGTATTCAAAGACCCCCTCACATATGGGTACTGTGGGCGGCCAGTCAGTTATACAAGAGTGAGCGAGAGAGGCAGGATCGGCTGTGGCGCCCAGTCCACATACTTCAGTTACAATATACGTACTTCCAGCCTACGTGAGTATTTTTACCCAATCCACGTGTTCGAACTCCCACATGATAGTCATATTGAAGTTTCTCTCCCGGATAATCACGTCCACCTTGCAGACAACTTGCCAGACACTGTAGCATCATGGAATCTGGGTTCAGAGGACATCTCCACAACCTTCCTCGCTACTACCACTAATCCGTCCCTCGGGTATGACCTACTTCCACTGGGGAATCTCGCCTACCAGTGACAATGCCTTCGTCTGCTACCCGTCCCTTACCACCAGACGCCAGTATATAAGCACCAGCCTTCTCGCCTGTGCTCCAGTTTCTCCACGACTACGGTGCTCTTCACACCACCTCCAAGGCTGAGGGACTCATTACCTCATCTTTTGTATGTAGTTCTACTGTCTTCCAATATGTCATTGAATTTGTACTGATAAAGCCACTGGATGGCGAAACGTCTACAATAAAGATACCCAGATATTGCACGTGTGTATAATTCTCCATCGTGTCGGTATTGTATACCATTTGCGTACAACAATGTCCTACTGCTAAGTTAAATATATTAACTTACAAAAAATGACAGCTCAGCAGGGAAAATGGAAGACAATAACAATTCCTCCCCTCAAAATACAAAAACCTGAGAGTATTTCTTGAGAGTTGAAGAGAGCTATGATGGAAACCAAGAAATATATCTCTGGCCACAAGAAATATATATCTGGCCATAAGAAATATATCTCTGGCCATAAGAAATATATATCTGGAATCAAGAAATATATCTCTGGATGCAAGAAATATGTATCTGGCCGCAAGAAATATATCTTTGGCCACAAGAAATATATCTCTGGAAGCAAGAAATAAATATCTGGACGCAAGAAATATATCTCTGGACGCAAGAAATAAATATCTGGACGCAAGAAATACATCTCTGGACGCAAGATAGAGGCGGCGGCCATCTATCCTGAGTAGACAGGTGAGCGAGGCGGCCATCTATCCTGAGTAGACAGGTGAGCGAGGCGGCCATCTATCCTGAATAGACAGGTGAGCGAGGCGGCCATCTATCCTGAGTAGACAGGTGAGCGAGGCGGCCATCTATCCTGAGTAGACAGGTGAGCGAGGCGGCCATCTATCCTGTGTAGAACAGGTGAGCGAGGACGGCCATCTATTCTGAGTAGACAGGTGAGCGAGCGGCCATCTATTCAGAGTAAAGTGAGCGAGGCGGCCATCTATCCTGGAGATAACGTGAGCGAGGCGCCATCTATCCTGGTAGACAGGTTGAGCGGGCCGCGCATCTATCCGAGTAGACAGGTGAGCGAGGCGGCCATCTATCCTGGATAGACAGATGATCGGAGCAGCTATCCTGAGTAGACAGTGAGCGAGGCAGCTATCCTGAGTAGACAGGTGAGCGAGGCGGCCATCTATCCTGAGTAGACAGGTGAGCGAGGCGGCCATCTATCCTGAGTAGACAGGTGAGCGAGGCAGCTATCCTGAGTAGACAGGTGAGCGAGGCGCATCTATCCTGAGTAGACAGGTGAGCGAGGCGGCCATCTATCCTGAGTAGACAGGTGAGCGAGGCGGCTATCCTGAGTAGACAGGTGAGCGAGGCGCTATCCTGAGTAGACAGGTGAGCGAGGCAGCTATCCTGAGTAGACAGGTGAGCGAGGCGGCCATCTATCCTGAGTAGACAGGTGAGCGAGGCAGCTATCCTGAGTAGACAGGTGAGCGAGGCAGCTATCCTGAGTAGACAGGTGAGCGAGGCAGCTATCCTGAGTAGACAGGTGAGCGAGGCGGCCATCTATCCTGAGTAGACAGGTGAGCGAGGCAGCTATCCTGAGTAGACAGGTGAGCGAGGTTTAGTAAATTTGTTAGTGTCATTAATTAGCGCAATCATTTCGTGAGAGTGACGTACTGTAGTGAAGCATATACACCAGAGCTGCGGGAGAAGAGCTGAACCAACTGGTGGAGGTGTCTTGGGGGTTCGTCAGGAGATACTAGAGTAATAAATACACAAGTTGGATGTCTTGGAGGCGTATAATTGGGAGAGACTTAAGGAGATGCCCAGGAGCGTTGCCTTGTCCAGTCTATGTCTAGCGGGAACTGAGAGCGAGGCCTCTGGCCTACTGTTCACGCTAGCAAGGGAGCATATCTGTGATGGGTCTCGTGAAGTCACGGCTAGCAAGGAAGCATATCTGTGATGGGTCTCGTGAAGTCACGGCTAGCAAGGGAGCATATCTGTGATGGGTCTCGTGAAGTCACGGCTAGCAAGGGAGCATATCAATAAAGTAGCTAGGATTACCTACACAGTAACACTACTGACAGAGGGTGAAGCCAGGTGGGAGGAGGGTGAAGCCAGGTGGGAGGAGGGTGAAGCCAGGTGGGAGGAGGGTGAAGCCAGGTGGGAGGAGGGTGAAGCCAGGTGGGAGGAGGGTGAAGCCAGGTGGGAGGAGGGTGAAGCCAGGTGGGAGGAGGGTGAAGCCAGGTGGGAGGAGGGTGAAGCCAGGTGGGAGGAGGGTGAAGCCAGGTGGGGGGGGAGAGGGGAGGGTGAAGCCAGGTGGGAGGAGGGTGAAGCCAGGTGGGAGGAGGGTGAAGCCAGGTGGGAGGAGGGTGAAGCCAGGTGGGAGGAGGGTGAAGCCAGGTGGGAGGAGGGTGAAGCCAGGTGGGAGGAGGGTGAAGCCAGGTGGGAGGAGGGTGAAGCCAGGTGGGAGGAGGGTGAAGCCAGGTGGAGCGAACAGAGACTGAAGCCAGGTGAACAACTAAAACGCCATCAACTGAAAATCCCATCATTAGTAACTCTACGATATATGAAAATCCATAATCAAATTCAGTTAAAAAATCCTCTCACTAACTTAAAAATCCTCTAACAAAATTCCCATTAACTTAAAAATCCCTCTCACTAACTTAAAAATCCCTCTAACTTAAAAATCCCTCTCATTAACTTAAAAATCCCTCTCATTAACTTAAAAATCCCTCTCATTAACTTAAAAATCCCTCTCATTAACTTAAAAACCCTCTCATTAACTTTAAAATCCCTCTCATTAACTTAAAAATCCCTCTCATTAACTTAAAAATCCCTCTCATTAACTTAAAAATTTCCCTCATTAATTACAAAATCCCCCTCCCCGCTGTGGCGATCACTACTCACCACAGTGTCCCCCTCCCCCGGGGACTCAGCGAGTGTCCCGGGTGATCGCAACTCACCACAATGTCCCCCTCCCCCGGGGACTCAGTGGGTCCCCCCCCCCGAGAACTCAGCGAGTGTCCCGGGATATCACTACTCACCACAGTGTCCCCCTCCCCCGGGGACTCAGCGGGTGTCCCGGACGGGTGATCACTACTCACCATAAAACATCGTTCACATCATATTAGTGAGATTAATGAAATGAATGATAGATTTATTAGAGGCTCCGATGTATTTTGCATAATAATCTGCATAGCCTTAGCAGTGATGTTATTACTTGATATTTACTGGTTAAGTGTCCTCATAGTGGAGAGGTGGTTAGGAGTGGGTGGAGAGGTGGATGCTGAGTAAGGTGGTGGTGGAGTATGGGGGTGGGTGGAGTAGAGTGGTGTGGAGGTAGAGGTGGAGGAGGTTGGTGGAGGTAGAGGTGGTGGTGGAGGTAGAGGTGGAGGAGGTGCTGGTGGAGGTAGAGGTGGTGGTGGAGGTAGAGGTGGAGGAGGTGCTGGTGGAGGTAGAGGTGGTGGTGGAGGTAGAGGTGGAGGAGGTGGTGGTGGAGGAGGTGGTGGTGGAGGTAGAGGTGGAGGAGGTGGTGGTGGAGGAGGAGGTGGTGGTGGAGGTAGAGGTGGAGGA